GGTGATGGCATTGATCTTATTTAGTCATTACCATATTTATTGCATGAAGTTACCCAGTATCCACTGTGTTGTTGTTTACAGCCAGTATCCCTGAGGATCTGTTATTTAGCAGCAGTAGTGCTGTGGGCAACATTATCGGGTGAAAGGGAAACATTGTTAGGCAGTGAGAAAACATTTTCAGGAGGCACTTTGTGATTTACTCTGGATTTACATCACTGGACACATATGGAACATTGCTTACATTTTATGTATGTATTCTTATTAAAGGACTTGTGGTGTGGGTGCCCTAATTTGCTGTTCACAGTTTTGGGAATAAGTAATAGGGGGTACTAATAATATACCCCCTAATATTTCCCCTGGGATTAATTGGATATCTGAGGGCATCCATATTATAAAGGGGCTTTAGATTCCAGAAATTCCTGCACATCTCTTTTGGTGGAAGAAGCCCTTGTCCCTCAGCATGGGATACTTTGCAGCCCCCCTTGCAAGGTACCCTTCCAATGTTGACAGGTATGTGGGCGTGAACAAATATGGTCAATTATATAACTCAAGATCTCTTTATTTACATTACTGCAGCATCTGGTGATCTTTCATTTAGCTGCTTTAGAGTGGCAGGTCAACATTGTCAGGCAGCTGGTCATGGTGGTGGCAGGAAAACATTGTCATCATCTTCATGCTGTGGGTGACTGATGCTGGATTAATATCTCTAGATGACATAACATTGATGTGGGATTTACTGCTTTTGAGTCTCCAAGGATCCTTTACTGCTTTTGAGTCTTTTTCCAAGTTTTACAAAAAGTACAAAAAACTGTCTGTCCACATCAACCTTTCAGGCAGTAAAGGTAGTTAACAATTGCATGTGCCACAGGTAAAGAATACAGATCTTCAATTCTCACAGAGCAATGGGAATAACCAGAGGATGCCTCCCTTGAGTTCCAAATTGTTTCTCTAGCAACTACTCACAGATCCTCACAAATAGCTTTATTGGGTACAAGGGGACTGTAATGATAATGCACAATAGAGACATGGAAGCTGTACGTGACAGCCATCTTGTTAAGGTCTCAGCCATTTTGTTTTTCATGGACAATCATTTTTCACCCCCTCCTCCCTCCTCTTGAAATGTAATTTGTAGCTGGAAGTTGTAACGGATTTCAAAAGAGCCTCTTATTGTAAAAAAAAACACAAACAGAGGCCAGCTCCAGAGCTGTAAACCACTAATTAGGCTTGGCAGGATGTCTATTTAGCAAAGACACTTTCCTCTGCCCTATCATAAAACAATAACTCAGTCAGCTGTCATACATGACCTGTTAGGCCATTAGAGCTTAGGAATGCAGAGCGTGCCATAAAACGTCTATTCCACATATGACCATTTCACATACAGTTCATAGCATACAACAGGAACTGGGCACATTAATATTAGGTATATATTTGGATAGATCATTTCATGCCAAACAAGGTCCTACATGACTATGTTAGCACATAGGAAAGGGAAGAAAGCAGTCTCCTCCCTCCTGGGTGACAAAGGTAAGCTTTGTTTGGTATCCCTGGCTTTTAAATATAATTCTGAATATTAATCTGTCAGTTGCTAGAATACCACCTGCATGTATTGGAGGTTATTAATATTAGTATAAAATTGTAGTTGGGACTTGGTCATAAACTTGGTGACCTCCTAGAACCCATCCCCTAAACCGGTGATTTATTTTTTTATTTATTTCAGGTACTTATATAGCGCCGTCAATTTACACAGCGCTTTACATATATATTGTACATTCACATCAGTCCCTAACCCTCAAGGAGCGTACAATCTAAGGTCCCTAACTCACATCCATACATATTAGGGCCAATTTAGACAGGAGCCAATTAACCTACCACCATGTCTTTGGAGAGTGAGAGGAAACCGGAGTACCCGGAGGAAACCCATGCAGGCACAGGGAGAACATGCAAACTCCAGGTAGGTGGTGCCGTGGTCAGGATTTTAACCAGTGACCCTAGTACTGCCAGGCGGAAGTGCTAACCATTTAACCACTGTGATTGGTCAGTTGTTCTCAGGCGACACCCCTTTATTATCATATAAAAGAACTGACAGGCCTGATGAAGGAGAGATCTAATTTAGCATCAATCAAGAAACATCTAACGGACTTGAGAGCCAAGGCAAAATTCTTGCTCAGACAATTGGACCCTGCTAAACCAGGACTTTGCAAGAATTCTGCCTTCTTAACTCCTTTATATTATTTCTCTGTTTCATTATTGTTCTCTTTATGTCTTTGTAACATCTTTTTCTGTAAATATTTTAATTGCACCATTTTGACCTTTTTAGTAATAAACCCTATTTTGAAAAGTGTTGAAACTGTCTCTGTCTTTAAATGCAAACTAAAGAATCCCTGTTTCTTGAAGAGTGCTATTGTATGTAATAATCCTCTGAATATACCTGTCTGTTGTGACAGTGTGTGTTGCAGATGCTTATGCTAAAATCATAGTGTTATTGCTGAGATTTGTGTTTCTTCCTCTGTAAAAAGGCGGAGGTGGCATTGTGAAGGGTTAATTACATAATTTACCTAACCCAGTAACAATTGCTCTCAGGCTGCTGGCACATAGATTGTTGTCTCACGAGCTGGAAAATCTTTGTGCAGGGTGCAGCTGAGAGTGGCATTGTTACGCAAGTGACAGCGTGGTGCGAGATTGATTGGTCCTTTGGTCACGAGTTGGTGAGAAGAGCAGGGGTCGGGCACCGCATTCCATCACAGGGATTTCTGCATTTTTTGGAATTATCTGCTGGCAGGGTATTTTGCTAAATGGGTTTGTTCACTGTTCAGCTTGAACGGCAAAGCAAACTCCATATCCTATCTGTTCCTGCTAAAAAACAGCGTCCTGTCCCTATGTAGCCCTTTCCAGTCCAAGGTGCTTAGTAATGGAGGCTGTGCTATATATATATATATATATATATATATATATATATATATGGCATCTGCATTTCAAAATCTTGTCAGAACTCTGTACCTAACAGTGGCACAGAGTTCTCCAAGATGGCACCTTGAGCTGATAGCATGTGACATATTACTCTTATGCTGGGCTCTGCCTAGTGCTAATAGTAAAGCATTGGTAAAGTGGGCTCTCTGTTCACACGAATAGAAAAAGGAAAGTGACTTAGTAATCAAAATATCACTGTATCACTTCCCATATTGCTACACCGAGCTAGTAATCACCAAAGGATAAACTAGCCCTGGTATCACCCCTTTTATACTAGCAGAAGCTCCCACTTCACCCCTCCTGCCTACATTTCACATCAATCATATGCATCAGTGATATTGCTGTAAGTCCTGATTTGAAATAAGAGGCCCAAACATAGTAACTATACTGAAGAGGACCATATAATGGCAGCTGCTACTATGCTAGCACAAAAGGATGCTAGTATAAATAGTTTCCACACATTTTAGTCCTGTTTCAGATAAGCAGTATTTCACTAGGCAAAATGTATGTTTTTGCATTAATACATCAGCTTTAATACATCAATAAGTCAACAACTGCCAAAGCACATAAGCATAGCTTTTCATTGTAGAGCACCTGCATAACTGCTCTAAATCAGCATAATAATTCATCATTAACATGTATCAGTTCACAAAGTTCACTGTGTGTTTCGACAGCAATAAAAAACAGATGAGTGTTACATATGTTCCTATTGCTTCCCTTAAAGTCACATAGAATTTTATTAATAATGTGTCACTCGTAGCAAAAAATAAAAATGAAAAAAAAAAAAAAATCTATGACCTAGAAATGGTCATGAAACATTAAATAAGAATCAACATCACAAAAGAAATATACTTTTTTTGTAAAAAGGGAATATAGCCATGTTTGGTTCTTATACATTTCTTAATTTTTTCTTACGTTATCACAACAATCACAAGCAGCTATAATAATCTCTCCATTTCACAATTCTTTTTCTAATATTTTAATTTAGATTCACTCCCCCAGAGTATATCCTTAATGCTTTTTAAAGTTAAAGCATTTTAGTAGTTTTATGTTTTCCTCCTTCTTTTAGCTGCAGGCAGTGAAATTTGAACATGTGTGGAATTTTGTATTTTACAATCCTGTGGGATTATCAGAGACACTGCTGTCAGGGACCATGAATCATGTTAATACTTACCAACCTCTACAGCTGTTTAAATGTCTACCATAATATGATGAGTTTAAACTCACATTAGAATGTGTTACATATACTTTACATCAGACATTCTCTAGAAAATCAACTAAGAGAAAAGAGAAGCTAAAATGACAATGATTAAATGTTTTGCCTTGTATTGTATTTTTCTATTTTATTTTGTCTATGTAATTAAAACAGGATGCAGATGTAAAGAATATGCAGGTATTCCTAAATGTTTTACAAGTTCTAGCAATGCTGACCCAAGTAAATGCATGTCCATCTTTCCCATTTCTTTGTGATAGATACAAATGTTACCTTTGAGGAGCCTTTTTAGACTTAAAGTGATACTAAACACACACTGTTTACTTTACATTATCCCTTCTCTTTTTGTATGAAGATGATGGTACTGTAATTATTTTAATAAAATACCCCAAAACATCTAAGTTCCTTTTTCCTAATGGATATACAGCTGTTACAGCTCTTTCCCAGCCTATCTGCAGGGAAACATAAGCAGGAGTAGCTCCTAGTCCCATGTTGCTTTTCACATGTTAAAAATTTAAAAAAAGCAGCTTTTGAGATATAGAGATAAAATAAATAGTTAATATCAATAAACTGTTTTAAATTATCATACAAATATATATTTGAAACAGGGGCGGACTGACAAGTCATGGGCCCCCGGGGAATAGGGGATCATGGGGCCCCTGTGTCCTTGCCCAAAACTCAAAAAAGCCTATGAAAAAGGTACCAGGGGCATCTCATGGGGCCCCCTACTGACCCTGGGCCCTCGGGCAGTGCCCAAGTTTCCAAATGGTCAGTCTGCCCCTGATTTGAAATGAGATCTTTATTATTTTTTGACAATAACATGGTGTGGCTGAATATCTACCAGTCACAGGCTGTGTCATGCCCCTCCAGTCTGTGTGTTAGAATAACAGTGAGGTGAAGCCTCCATCAATCAAGATTTAGCATCCCACACTCATTGTGTTTAGCTGGTTAGTGGACATGGAGAAGGAGGGAGTAAGTGGGCTGTCATTTACAACTGTGTATTCACCCAAATGTGTGACTCTGTAGTCACATGGGCTGCTTAGATGTGATAGGGAGGAGATGCTCAGCATAGAAACTCACTGAAAACTGCACATGTGCAGTAGCTGCCAACACTGCTCTGCAAAATTCCAAACTGCATTCGGGACATGGACAGAAGAGGGAGATAGAGAACAGCAGGATCTACCAGGTGTTTTGCAGAATACAAAAAACAAATCACATAGTGAATTAGTAAGTGTAAAAAGCATGTAATACAGCTTTTATTAATAGTTTTTTTATTATGTGAGTTTAATGACACTTTAAAGTTATGGATACCATTTTTGTAAATAAATGATCCATCAACTTGGCCGTACACATGAGAATTTCATTGATATCACTTTTGAGCCAGGAATTGCACAATCAGTCCTAAGAAATCTTCCACCCATGAGTTTGACTGATCCTGAGAATTCTGTCAATTGTGAAGTTGAAATTGAGCTTTAGATTGACATCTGCTGTTTAGTTTTTTGAAAGATCAAATTATAGTGGAATCAGAAATGAAATGGGTATCAAATAGAACACTTCAGCAATTTTAGATTTCCCCACTGCATTCAATTGGGGCAATTTCAATACCATCTTCAAGCTGCTGATCAAAACCACAATTTTATGTCTTTTCTTTGTGAAGCTGACAAAATATGGAGCTGAATGTTCAATTACACAAACAAATCATTTTTATGGTCATGATTATATAAAGTCCAAAGTTCAAGTTTGCAATTCTTAACACATTAAAGTTTTTCTGCTGTTACTGTAAAGAACTCATCTTGTAGTGGTTATACAACTACCTTTACACACAAATTTGAGTAAGGAAAGGAAAAGTGGGGTCATTGGCTAAAGCATCTGGTCAGGTTTTAACTTTCATGGTTTAAGTAACTGCACTGCCTGTAACTGACAAGTTATTGTGTTCAGTTGCTCTTATTTTTCTTTGCCTCATTTTTAGAATTTATAAATTGAGCTTTTTTTAATAATACAGTACAAATAGCATTAGGTTTTTTACAGAAAAAACATAAGTTTTCAGTACTGCTAATAGCTTATGTTTGAATAATCGGTATGGGCTACTACTCGGGTTTGCTATTATTAAACAAAGCCCTTAGTATTACAATTGGTATTGAAAAGCTTGCTTGTCTTATCCAGCCGGGTTTTCAATGTAAAACACATTCACACACACTCCAATTTGTGTAATAAAAATTGGATACAGATTAGACTTGACACATCTGTAGTCACTGTAAATCGGATTTCATTACGGCGTTTGGTGATATTCTGTTGGAAAGTGAGATGATGGAGTAATACATCTGTCAGATTTATGCATATGGGTTTTAGAGAAATTGAATTACCATGGTGCAGAATATATTTTTAAGTGAAAGCTGCAAGGAAATTTAATTGAGACATTATGAAATCAGTAGAATATACAGGCTACAGATCCCAGATTGACCATGATGCAAATTTATCTTGAAACCAAATTCAGACATGGTTATTGCAATTCTTCTTTGAGATATGTATGAATTATGCACCGTGTTAGTCCAAAATAATCTATTTCAGAACATGAACTGTAATAATAAAAGGTATTGCAGTTTGCTGGCATGAGGACATTTTTGCTGTTATTGTTACTTTATAGTAAAAACATCTAACCTTGGACAGAATTCACCTCAAGTGTTGCAGATGCCAAATTTTATGTAATTAGGACAGCCAGTACAGATTGCGGTGAGCAGCAAAAGGATAGCATATAAGCACACAAATAGAATATCAACTTTTGGGTTATATCCTATTATTAGATATGTTTCACAAACATTTAGTTCGTTATGTGCCACCTTACAAGTGCCATTCATACTCATGCTATTAATAACTGTGAGCTGGGTCTTTTGGGGCTAAATTATGCATTGCTAGCACACAACTATATATAAAGCTGTTCCAAGCTATGCCACTGGAATATATGTTTAACTTCTCTTCCCTTTCCCCCTTGATTACTGGTATTTTTGCTGTCTGAAACATCCAGCATCTAAAAAGAACACAGCTTTGTCCATTATGAACACATTTTTATACCTTTGTGTAATGCCCTCTAGGTTAGCTAGGTTTGTCGTTTTTTAGATAGAGGCTGAGTAACAGCCTGGGATGAATCAGCCTGGGAGTGAGGCAGGAGTTCACCTCAGGACAGGCTGGGAGGTTCTACAGGTCAGGGCTTCTGGAACCCTCCCACCTTTCCAGAAATGGGAGAACTTTCTGGGAGAGGGGTGGAGGAGGGGAGGAGGCCCAGATTTGCATGTTTGAGGGACCTTGACCAATCCCCTATCAGGAGGCTAGGCATGGTGACCAGGGCAACCCTCAAATATGACAGAGCCTGAGGAGCAAGGGGTGTCAGGTGGAAGATGGACTGAATGGAAGGCTGGAGTGTGGAGCCTGAAAGGGGGCCCCAGGGAGGGGAGCCTACCTACAGGCTGGTTGCTGGACAGGAGGATCTCCACTGCCCAAAGTCTCCTAGGGAGGACATCCTGAGCAGCAGGGAAGAAGCCAGCCCAGCGAAAGGCCTGAAAGCAGCTACCAACCCACCACGCAGACAGGACAGTGTGAGTACTTCTACACCCCCTGGGCCAGATAAGGGGAGAGACTGTCAGGTGAAAAACCCAACTAGTCCTCATTTGGGACTGTTTAACTGCAAGCTTCTGGGACCTCTTGCTCAAGGATACCCTCAGGACAGCTGGTTGGGGAGGAGGATTCATCCGGGGTCTGTGGAGGTACACCAAAGAGGGACTACAGCGCTCAGTAAAAGGACACTGCTATATTTTTACTAGTCCACCTTTTTGGACAAAATTGCTAAGAAGTTTGTTCTCATGTTCTTCAGTTCCTTGGGCATCCTATATACCCCTAGACCACATCAAAGTTGTTAACCCCTAAATAAAAACAACTAAAAACCAGCTGAAGGACTATTTACTGACTCTGAGGGTACAGGTGTGGAAAATGCATGTTGCCTGGCTGTGTAGAGCATAGAGGGACCCAAACCAAATACAGCAACCCTTATGAGGGTAGTGCTACATGTGCTACAGTATATGCACTAGAGGGGCATAGCTTTTTAAACTAGGGGCAGAAGGGTATTTATATGAACCTCCCTTTTTAGGTGGTACGCTGAATGAGCCACTTAGAATGAATATATAGTGTGTACCAGTTTTATGTGGTCTTCATTTCAGAAAATGTTACGATATGACTCTTATTCTATTTAATTCTAATGTTCAAATATGTTTATAGTGTGTTGCCTCTAGTAATCATTTATATTGTATTTTGGATATAAGCCTAATGTTAAATCCTTTGTGTTTTTTTGAATGATTTCTTCTTGAGTATGTTAAATGGTAAATGCGCTGTTTCGTGTGTTGGGATGGAGGGAGTGGGGTGGGGACCAAGATAACTGGCCTAGGAGAGGAAAAGTATAAATCTGATCCTTAGAGGGGTTTGACCACTTGGCACTGATGACTGTTTCTCAATGTTGCCCATGTCCAATTTGAATGGGTGCCTGTTTGCTTTTAGCACAAACAGGCCTTGAATTACATGCCCTCTGAGCACTATTCTTTAACTTGGGGACTAACAAAGTAGCCCTGGCCTAGGTATAGTAGCCCTAGCCTGGACACACACCTACAGAGTGTCTACTTCAACTGGTGACTCACCAGCACTGGTTCTACACAGGAATGCTTTCCAGCACCAAACTCTTCGCTTTATCAACCAAACCAGCCTATTCTTGGAATCCTATCCTGATGTATTTCTGTTATGCTCACTCAGACATTCTTTGACTGCTAAAACTGACTCTCTCCCACTCACATATAGTAGGCAAGTAGACACAAATATAATGAGAATATATGGACACAAAAGAAAAACTTAAAAACCAAAAAGAATAATGGTACAAAAACACTTTGAGAAGAACATCATTGATCTTTCTCTATTTCATAAATAAACAAATTCAGATGTACTTGATGATGATGTAAGCCATTTCATTCTTTATCCCAGTCAACAACAAATGATAGAATCAGCCCTTCAGACAGTTCTTCATGTAGAAATAGATTACTTATTATCTTTTTAAAGACAGAAAAGGGAGAGCAGACAATGAAGGTGCAAAAAATGGGCACTTTGAATCTCACCCTTCCATGTTGTTTTTTTTGTTCATGTTTGTGGGATTGAGTTGCTTGCTCTGCATTGAATCCTTTTCCTAAGCACAAGCCCAAGGCAGCCAGGGTGGAATACAAAATTCAAAGTAGGACTAATTTAGTCAATTAGCCTGCCAGAATGTATTACGTATTTGAGAGGAAACCAGAACACCTGGAAAAAACAAGAGTACAAACGCCATGAAGACTCTGACTTACAGAAAGAGTCTAGCATCATTGGTAGAAATTTGGGTTCACCATTACCATTTTTGAGGCCCTGGTAAATTAATGGTATATTAATGCTAGAATTTGGCAGTTTAATTTCTTTGTAGACATAATGCTCTGTCTAGCCTTTGAACTTAAAGCGGAGTTTCAGTCACATTGTGAAAAAATATAAGTCAGCAACTACAAAAACTGTAGCTGCTGACTTCTAAAAAACAGCCACTCACCTGTTCCTTGATCCCATGGTGTCTTCCTCACAGCCCATTTCAAAAGGCCATCTGATGCTCCCAGCATTGGCATCTTCATTGTGGGCACCCGGCTGTGACAGCTTGCGGCTTCACAGCTGAGTGCCCACTGCGCATGCATGAGTAGCGCTGTGCTTTCTGAATGGTCCCGTAGTCTTCTGGGACCTGTCATGTGTCCCACAAGACTACAGGGAGGGGGGAGGACAACTTATGCTTCTGATCGCCTAGGTGATCACAGCAGAAGTAGGAGCAGGTACCTGTCAATTTTGGTTACCCACTCTTCAAAGGTGCT